TAATCAAATTACATCAAAAATTCCGAAATTGGTCAAACACGACCCCTGGGCCCACATCTCGAAATCCGATAAAAATTACATCAATAGAATCCTTATCCTCTCACGAGTTCATACATACCACGAACATCAAAATCGGATCTCAAATGACCTCTCAAATCCCCAATTACACTCTCAAATTTCAAGCCCTAATTCCCCAATTTTAGGCTTTAAATCCCACTAATTTCATCTCTAATTAGTTAGAAATCACCATAGAATCGAGTATTGAGTCCAAAAATATTACCTCCAAGTGTTTCCCTTCGAATCCCTCTTCAATCCCTCTCAAAAAGCTTCAAAACCGTCCAACAATGGTGAGAAATGGCCTAAAAATCGCGAAGATGGCTTTATTTACATTTTGCCCAGGTGATTTTCCTTAATCACGATCACAGAAAGACCATCGCAATTGCGAACAACAAATTTTGCTGGTACCAGAAATAATCCTACGCGAACGAGTCGCTCACCATGCGAACGTGATACTCTGCCCCTCACTCCTACGCGATCGCGGATCACTGAACGCATTCGCGAAGAACAAACGTGTGGCCCCAGCTTTGGTCCACTTAACCTTACGCGAACGCGACTTAACCCACGCATTCGCGATGCTTCACCTGATCAACCATCACGATCGTAGACCTTAATACTCACGAGAAGAGAAAACTTGACTGCCTCCACAAATGCTCTACGCAATCACGAGCCTCCTCACGTGATTTCGAAGAAGGAACCTCTGCAACAGAACAAAAGAGAAATCTGCAACCCTCAAAACCACAAACTTGGTTCGATAACCTCTCGAAACTCACCCAAGGACCTCAGGACCTCAACCAATCATCCTAACACATCCCATAACATCATTCGAACTTGTTCTAACCCTCGGAATGCTCAAAACAACTTCAAAACATCAAATCACCCTCAGATTCAAGCCTAAGGATTCCAAAACTTCCGAATTCCGAATTTGATCGAAAAGTCTATCAAACCTTGTCCGAATGACCTGAAATATTTCACACACATCCCAAATGACACTATGGACCTACTCCAATTTTCCGAATTCTATTCTGACCCCGATATCAAAATTTCCACTGCCTACCCGAAAATGCCAAATTTCCAATTTTGGCAATTCGAGCCTAAATCTTCCACGGACCTCCAAAACACATTCCGATCACGCTCGCAAGTCCCAAATCATCTCAAGAAGCTATCCGAACTATAAATACCAAATATCGAGATAGTTTACTCACAAGTCAAGTTTTGGTTGACTTTTCCAATTAAACGGTCATCTTAAGAGACTAAGTGTCTTATAACACTCCAAAACTACTCCAAACCCGAATCAACCAACACGATAAAATGAAATGTAGCTAAACAACACATAAGAAATCGGAAATGGGGAAAATGCAGTGGTAACTCATGAAACGACCGGCTGGGTCGTTACACCATTTGGCTAATATTTTTGTTTCTGTAGGCGACAGACTTAAGATCCTCATCAATACTTAGCGCTATCATAGATGTCATATACGAATATTTTAAATCGGTTCCAACTTCATTTTTTCATAAATACATAACATAAAGATCTCTTCATATATATATTTTCAGGTATCTAATCCTCTCCTAAGATTTTATGAAGTATTATGACATGTATTCTTCTAGATCACTTGCCTCCTTATTATGATCATTTTGATCATTTTCTCATCTTCTTTATCAAGATTGTATTTGAAACCAATTTGTCTATACTATTGATACCCAATTTTTATTTTTTATTTTTTAATATGCAAAATACTTTCAAAATAGCATATGTATGCATATAAGTATGTCCAATTGCTTTATTATTATTTCTCTTAATTTTCAAAGATTTTTAAACCCATTTATTCCCCTCTTTTATTCATAAAAAACCAATAATATTTCCAAAGTTATTATTTTGGTAATTCATTTATTGGATTCTCATATTTATCCCAAAATATAGCTAAAATAATTTTTGTACATTTTTACAAATTTATTTAATATTTTTAAAGCTAAATTGCATGTAATTGCAATATTAGCCTCTTTTAGATTTAATTGCGTTTATATCTATAACAATTAAGTCCAGTATTTTTAATTTGATAATTATATGTTATAAATCATTTTTCTACTTTTAATTTATTTTCAGAATATAATTTGCTATTTTTATAAAATAAATGGGGAAAATTGGTTATTCAAAAACTAGCCCAATTACCTTTCAATCATAGCCTAATTTGAACCCCAATTGGAACTCAATTTTACCCCGACCCAATTCCCTTCAAGTCCGACCCTTTACCCATTTAAATGACCCACCTGGACTCCCACCTAATCCCAACCGTTGATCGTGTAGATCAACGGCTCCCATCACGATCAACGGCTCCCATTACTCCCTTCCTTTTTTAACCCAAATGACCCCTTCACCCTAATCCATTTCTCACAATACGTCGCCTCTGAATCCCCCTCGTCTCTCAAATACTCTCTACAACAACATCAAACCCTAACCACCGCCACCTTAATCTACCCTAATCCACGGCTTTCCAGGATTATCTAAGACCTGTATCAGCCTCCCATGGCTTCTACGTGTTTGTTTCTGTCGTCTCATGACCAGATTCTGAAGGGGCTTGGTCCAGTCTTTGCTCAATGACTGTTCTCCGGCCGTCTCTGACCTTTATCCATCTAGCCATGGCCATTCGAGTTAGACTCTTGACTCTACTGTTTAGATCGATGGATTTCAAGGCCTTTCTCGTCACTTAGGGTTCTTCTGAAACCCTAATCTCTAAGATCTTCTCGACTTATTTCAGGTTCACTTTAGATCTATGCTTGCTATGAGTTTTTAAACGCCTTCTCGAAGCTTTATTTTTTCAATCCACTAGGCAAGCGCCTAGGGCTAGTTTTTTTTATTAAAAATAGAAAAGTAAATACAATAATTAGGAAATTGTCATTGTCTTCCTTCAATGAAAGGAAATAGACTTTGCACTCTAATGTAACGTACAATCAAAATTGAGCATAATACTCAAATTGATATCACATTATGCCTACTAAAACTTTGTAATTGTAAAAAAAGCCCAAGTGAGTCCATGTCGACGTTGTATCTCCAGTCCAAAGCGACCCAGTTCCAGAGTGAAATTTGATTTGCGTAAATAGCCCCTTTTCAGCAACTTCACGTAGACTCCACCAATTTGGTAGCTCGGTACTGTAGCATACGGTAACTGTAGCACGTGATCATGTGATGTCCCCTTGAGATTCCCACACTATTGAGGGGCCAAGGTCCTTGGCATTTGCACCCAAAGTAATGCACATGCCTACAATGATTCCCATGCATTGTCCCTTTCTTTAATGATCCATGTTTCCAAAATATTCTGTCATGTGCACTCCAGGCGTGCCTTATTTTTTCTAGTTTGTCCGTTTAAGATTGTATATCCTCTTTCCATTTGTTGAAGCATGCGCTCAATTTGAAAAAGCATATGTCCAGCTTTTTATGCAAAGCTCATATGGACCTTTTTTCTTGGCATGTAGCCAGGCGTGAATAGCCTATGCACTTGCCAGTAATAAAAAATCCAAAAGTAACAACTGCACTCTTCTGCCAATTTGTTAAGGAATCGTTTGTATTTAGCCTTTTTCGATTCCTTATCTTCATTATGAAACATGCATTCCAATGCTTGAACATTTGAATGTGGAATCCCAACGGCTCTTCTTTTTGATGTATGGAGCAAGAGTGGTCCAATTGTTTGCGCCAGCTTTTGGTTTTGTCGAAGATTACACCCAGTGGTGTTATACCAATGCGCATGCCTTCATATTCTATCAAGCTTCTGGACGCGTGCTTACAAAAAGCTCGAATTTTTCTTCTAACGATGACTCCTCGATCCCATGCATTTGTATTAAATTAAAACTCCAGGCGTGCCTGCATTTGTCGTTCCTTTTGTCTTGATGAAAAACAAGACATTCCCAAGTCATGGCCCATATATGCGTTTTAATTCTTGGCTTTTTGAAAGCATAGGATAATATACTCTTAGTGGCACCTGCACGAAAGAAAAGATAGTTAGAAATACCAACCATTATATCCTCCTCCCTTAGGATTTGAATATATTGGTCGATTAAGTTGACATGCCTCCTGCTCTTCCTTTTCTCTTTGCTTCTTATCTCCTGTCCACCTTCACCCTTAGACTTGGACATTACAGCTTATCTTCATTAACTAACCTCCTTCCATGTGCATCTAGACGCCAAAATTGTTGGCATTCTATTTCTCCATGATCTAAAGCATAATTAGCCAAGTGATCTGCCAGCTTGTTGCCCTCCCTATGAATATGAGTAACTGTGTAATTGCCCCCATTCATTAGTTGCATCATTTCCTCTACCTGCTCAGATATGATCCATGGTGGTTTCCAGATCCCATCCATTATCTTTTTTAATAACATTGAGTCAGTTTGAAGCCATACATGAGAGTATTGTTGAAATCTGCAGAACCTTAGTGCTTCTACCATGGCCTTCGCTTCAGCTACTGTGTTTGTTGTCTCCTCAATCTCCTTCCCTACTGACTTGACTATGTCACCATTTTCATTTCTTATACAAAAACCTATTGAGCTCCTGCCTTGATTTCCCCTCGATGCACCATCCGTATTAACTTTTAGCCATTCTGCACTTGGAAATTCCCACATGACTTTGGTAACCTTAAGTTTATGAGTGAAATTTTCCATCATAGCTAATAGATCTTGCCATTTGTGAGGTACCATGTCCATCCGAGGCTTTCTCACTTTCACCAATGCCTGCAGATTTGATGAAACTTGATAAATCACCCTGCTAGTTGTCACAGCATCACCATACTTCATACTATTTCTTCTTTTTCAGAGTTTCCAGACTACATATGAGGGGAGTGCTTGCATTACTAGTTTGAGCCTTAAGCACACATTTGCTGTCCAACATTTTGTGATTGCTTGGTGCAATGTTAATCCCTCCACAACTATTCCTGCCCTCGATAGAAAATACTTTCAAGTTGTCTTTGCAGTTTTTGATCTAAAAAACAAGTGCTGAAGAGATTCCTCATCAGGCTGTACACAACACCAACATTTTGATGGCATGCAGTAGCCTACCCTTTTCATGAAATCATCTAAACGTAACTTTGCTTTCCACACTTTCCACATGAAAAATGTTATTTTAAAAGGCAGTCCCTTTACCCAAATCATACTATAAGCTGTTCTTGGTTCGTCTGTTCTTCTCATATAATCCCATGCTGACTTAACACTGAAATATCCTCTTGTTTCCAGCATCCAACAAGGCATGTCAAGAACCTGCTGAGGTGAAGATGGTTTGATTTTCTCCAGAATGTGTACTGCTAATTCTTCAGGAAGCATTTCAAATAGCATGTCCACATCCCACTCACCATCTAAGGTAACATCATATACATTATGTACAGTTTCATCAATGCCAAAGTCCTGAGGAACTAAAAAATATAGTGCCCCAAGACCTGTCCAGTTTTCAAACCAAAATAGTGAGGATCCCCTTTTTGGTTGCCAAAAGATTTGATGTTCAATCAGATCTCTGCATTCCATCATTCTTCTCCAAATGTGAGACCCCTCTTTCCATGGAACAATTACAGAATTCAATTTCTTACAGTATTTCTGACATACGAAAGAGCTCCATAGGCTTGGTTTTGTTCTGAAATTCCACCACAACTTGCTGAATAATGCCTTTGCTACATCATGCAGTGACCTGAAACCTATTCCTCCTTCCTCAACTGGCATGCATAAGGTATTCCATGAAGCCCAATGCCTACTAGTTCCTCCTACAGAGCTGCTCCAGAAAAACTGAGCAAACAATTTGTGCAACCTATTTATCACATAATTTGGAGGGTTTACAGCTGATAATAGATGCATAGGCATGCTTTGCAGTACATGGGATATGAGAACTGCCCTTCCCCCTACTGATAATAGCTTACCCTGCCATGATTGCAGTTTGTCCATTACCTTATTAATTAGGGGCTGATAGTATTCCAGCTTTCTCCTAGCATAAAATATAGGAGAGCCTAGATATATGATAGGAAAATCATTCCTATAAATGCCTGTGATCCTTTCCACCTTGCTGACCACTTCCATGTCTGTTAAATAATGCAGGTACACAACTGATTTGGTCTTGTTAACAAGCTGCCCAGATGCAACTTCATATGCATTCAACACCTGCATAATCAGCATCAGAGATGTTTCATCTGAGGATGAAAAAATAATCATGTCATCTGCATACGCCAAATGATTGATCTTTGGACTCCACTTTGGCATCCTAAATCCACAAAAATATAGGTTAGTATGTAGTGCATTGAGACCCGTAGATAATGCTTCTGCTGCCAAGATAAACAAAGTTGGAGATACAGGATCACCTTGTTTTACTCCCCTTGAGGACTTAAAGAACCCATGAGCTTGACCATTGATTAGAATAGAATACCAATTGTTTGAAACTAATCCAAAGACAATCCCTATCAACCTTTCTGTAAATCCCATCTTTCTCAGTACCTTGGTTAGGAATAGCCAAGATAATCTATCATAAGCTTTGGTCATATCTAGCTTCAGGATGACATTAGGTCCAGCCTTAGTTCTAAGCCTAATGTCAGTCACTATCTCCTGAGTTAGAAGGATGTTTTCTACTATATTCCTGCCCTTAACAAAACATGACTGTTCCACCGTTATCAAACTTGGGAGAAATTTCACTAGCCTTTCATGTACCACCCTCTATATAACCTTATTTGAAAAGTTACTGAGGCTTATTGGTCTTAAATCAGAAAAAGTGGTAACTTCTTTTTTCTTTGGTAGCAGAACTAGGTTGGTGTGTGTTACACACTTGGGTAGCTCATGACCATTGAAAAAAGCCCTCACCATGTTACACAGGTCATCCCCGATTATGTCCCAACAAGAATGATAGAATTTGCCTGTCATACCATCTGGCCCCCAGCACTATCACCATGAAGTCCAAGTACTGCCACTTTAACCTCCTCTTTTGTTGGCTGCTTAATCAATTCTGCATTCTGATCAGTGTTAATCAGATTAGGAACATGCTCTATGATATCAAATAATGAAGGAGTAGCTGCTTCTGTGAACTGTTCCTCGTAGAATTTGATAGTCTCTTCTGCAATTTCTTGTTCTTCTTCAATCCAGGTTCCTCCACTATTTTGAATTCTATTAAGCTGAAGTCTCTTCCTCCTACCTCTCACTTGTGCATGGAATAACTTAGTGTTCCTATCCCCTTCCTTGAACCAAGTCATGCCTGCCTTTTGTTGCCAATATTTCTCCTCTAGTGCAAGACATTTGATTAATTTTGCTTGAACCTTTTGTAGCCTTTCCCTGTTCATCCCTGTAGGATTTGCTTCAAATTCTACTTCATGAACCAGCACCACCTCCTCCATGCTTGCTATCTTTTGGAAAATATCTCCAAATGTAGCCTTACTCCACAATGAAAGGGCCTTCTTTAATTTTTTTAACTTGTGATTAAAAAGAATATAAGGATTTGCACTGAAATCAGCTGTCCAATTCTCTTTCACCACATCTTTAAAAGTCCCATGTTCCACCCAAAAATTCAAGAACTTAAAAGGCTTTTTTATTGGTGGAGTCTCAATATCACACTTCAGATACATTGGACTATGATCAGAACCAGTCTTTGACAAATGTTGCACCTCTTCTTTTCAAAATCTTTTTTGAGTTTAGCATGATAAAAACCTTAATTTCTTTTGGGGTTTCTGGGACTATTTGTTAAGTGTTTGTTTGATTTACTTGTTTATCATCTCTAAACTAGATCGGTGATAAAAACCCTAATTTCTTTGGGTTCGTTCGAGTTTCTGAGACTAGTTGCTAAATGTTGTCTGATTTATTTGTTCATCATCTTTAAACTCAATCGATGTTGAAAACCCTAATTTCTTTTGGGGTCTATTCAAGTTTCTTAAACTGCTTGTGCGATTTATTTGTTTATCGTCTTCTAAGCTTGAATGTTATTAAGGAAAAACCTATATCTTTGGGTTTGAAATTTCTCGTTGGAATACCTGACTTGATTTGAAGTTCTTTTGTTTCAGCATCTTTTTTCTTTATGTGATTACTTTGATTCTGGGTTCTTACTATCTCTGAAACTCGACTAAGCTTTTCAGAAGGGTTTTCGCAGTTGACCCTTTGCATGCTTCTGATACTCTATCCTTTTTTTATTTTCTCTATACTACTGATTTAATGAAACTTGACCTACATGACTATCATGCTTCGAATGTTTGCTGTCTACTAACTTTGTGCTACTATTGCATGCTTTTTTTTTTGCCAATAATTTGGCCTCACATGTCCATCATTTGTGCACTCTATTTATATGTAGAGGCCCCTTCTTTGATCGATTCTCAATTTTGGGACTGATTTCAAAACTTCTCTTTTTGTTAACTCTAATTTTACTCGCCTGCTAAAGTGATTGATCCCTTTCCTTATTTATTGCCTTGCTAAATATTTTCCCCAAAACAAGTGTATCTCTGTACTTGGACTCTATTGTGTACTCAATGTTTTACTACTTACTTTTATGGTAATAACCAGTCGGCCCACAAACTGATTTTCTTTCCTTCTTTTAAACTTGTTAACCCCGTTAAAAAAGTGATTCCTCAATTAAAGGGGAATCACTTGGTTGATTTATTCTGATTGCTGATTACTTTCATATGTGCATTTATTTCCTTATTTCTTACATGCTTTCAAAACTATAAATACCCACCTTCTCTTCTTTCAAACACGAACACTAGGCATAAAACACTTAAGTTCAAGCACACACTCCACTAAAATCTCTCTCTTTTCTCTGTTGCTACTTGTATTGCTGCCTTACATAGCCGGCTGAAAGCCAAGGCTAGGCTAAGGGAAGCTTGCTTATTTTTCTCTGCATTTGCATCTTACTGGTATGTTCTAATTAAGCTTCTGCACCAACAACAAAATGTTTCTTTACTGTCTCTTCCATCCTTGTTTGTCTCCTGTTTGTATTTAACCAAGTTCCATTATTAAACATGATGTAATCTGCCCCTTCCTATTCTGAGTTAATGCTTCTGGCCATTACTTATTATGACTTGTGAATCCTAAATCCCCATCCCCAAGGTGTTTAGTATCTGTGGTTGATTTGGGCATGACAACATTTGACATTGCTGTGCATGACCCAAACCTGGTACCCTGGGTGTAAGCACTGCCCGGGGTCCCTTGAGAGCCTTAGGGAACTCAGACACACCCAGGTCTGAGAAAGGTTTTGAATCAATGGCATTTGAGGTGGTTTATTCCATAACTCAGAGAGAAAGTCAAGAATCAGGCTTCCTCTGGTTGTAATCTTTTGTACTTTTTTGATTGAATTCATTATCCAGTCTGCAATAATTTGTAATAAACATTGTGGTTGGCTAGTGAAAAGGGTTGGGTAATTATTCATGCTTAAGGGTAGAAATCATGCCTATAAAGTCTGCTGTTTAAATTCTACATGTTTTGAGTTTTGCATTTTAGAAATTATGCCTATAGGATTCATTTGTTTAAATTATGCATTTATAATTCTGCACGTTAGATACCATGTCTATAGGACCTGCTTTCATTAAATTTCTGCATGTTCTGCATCTAGAGAGTATGCCTATAGGACTTGCTTAAATTTTGCATATTATGGTCGCATTTAGATACCATGTTCCTAGGATCTAAATGGTTAAAATCAGATATCGTGTTCATAAGGTTAAGGATCAGTACCCTTTTTATAAATCATGTCTATATAAATAAATGAGCAATATTAGACATCCTGCCTATAGGATCTGCAATCAATTTAAAATTTAGTCTATTCTGAACAAGTTTTAAACAACCTTCCTTCTTTATCTAACGAGGTTTAGAAAGCATGTCTATAGGATCTCAATCGTTCGTTTTAAAACTTTTACTATTTTTCCACTTCCTGAATTAGTAATAGATATCATTTCACCCAAACGCTTAGGCAATCCATAGGTGATGATAAAATAAAAATTGAATCCACTTTTGTTAATTTCTACAACCAGCAAGCAGGCCTGATTCAGACTTCTTATTTGAGTTATGTATTAAACTAATATGCTTCAATAATTAACTCCCCTTGTCTTTAGTATTTTAATTAGACCTTAAAAGTATGTGCAAGTCATGCTATTTATGTGTTTTGTTTGAGGAGGTATGCATGAGCCTTTATCTATTTACATGCTTCCCCCAACATGCAGTATTATACGTTTGTATGTCGCCTTAGATTTTTTACCTTTTGAAACCAAAATCAGCCTAATATCCCTCCCCTTTAGGCATAGGAGTCCTAAACTCCTCCGGGACTGATAGGAATGGGACGGGTAATAGCATGAAATAGTGATCGAGATCAATCCGCGCTTTAATACCTTAATGGGGCGGGAAGGGTAGATATGGATATGATGACCGGTGCAATAATACCACGTGTATCCCCTCTTTTGAGGAGTGTCATACTGGGTATCGCATTGATGTGATACATATTAAATATAAACCTAGGACCCCCTTTCCCTTATTTGCAAACTTCTTTTCAAAAACTCTTCTTTTAATTGTTCTTTCTCTTATGTGTTTAAATGTAAATCCCTTAATATTTGACCCCATATTTGGCTATTTGCTAAATTGCACAAAATCACAATCAACTGTCTAGCCGGAAACCATACTAGTGGATCCTGAGGGATGCCTAACACCTTCATCTTAGGATAATTTCAAGCCCTTACCCTATCTCTGGTTGTTCAAATAACTTAGAATTGAACCCTATAAGTGTCCTAATGCACCTTAAATCATTAGGTGGAGACTTTTCAAATGCAAACCCAGTTCCCAAAAGGAACGAGTTGTCCCATACCAAATGTCACAAACCCGATTTCGCGAGAAAAACTGGGCGCGATAGCATTGCGACTCTGCTGGGGATATTTATGCTTTTACCAGTTCAGACTGTTATTGTGAATTTATACCTCTGTATGTGCAATTACTTGTTTAAATTTCTTTAAGCATTCAATTTCCTTTTCAACTGCAAAACTCACTTGTCTTCTTTGTTTCTTTCCTTTACCATTGCTTTAAATTATGAAACTGCTGTATTTACTGCTTTCTTAATGTGCAAATACATGTCAACATGCTTTTAATTATTGCATAACCATGCGCAACATCATACTCCACTCATGCCAAAAAAATACCATAGCAACGCTTATAATGAGTGGTTGCGCTCTTCCTATATTATTACCCCTAAATCCGGAAAAGGCATATTTGCGGTAAAACCAGTCGATCAGCGGTGCAGTCAACGGTTCCGTGCCTTTCTCCTTGAGTTGTCCGCTCAAGGTACCGGTATAAAACCCCATAGAAACCTTACTCTGTTAAACTGTGCATCCATCATGGTCAAACCTAGCCGGGTCAGTTATGTTGTCCACATAATGACCCTTTAAGATAGCCTTGACCAAAGTCCATTGGTTTTTCCTGAACCCAAATGGACGTCACCACATTCTGTGCATTTATTTGGAGAACTAAATGCTTCATGCTAATTGTTGGTATTAAATAGTCGAGTCTGGTGGGGGTAAGGGCCTAACCTTATTTGTCTTGCAGAAATGAGGAATGAAATCACTAGATTCAGCATGGTCATCAACATACACCAAAGACTGCTAAGCTGGTGGGAGGATCTTCACTTTAGTGATCAAACTCTTGTCCAAAAATATTTGGGGAATCTACCTTATCTCCTGGAGATCCAACCCAACAACAATATCATAGAAGCTGCTACTTTGTTCTGGGATTGTGAGAGGGTCGTATTCCGCTTCGGGGACATTGAAATGACACCCTTGCTAGAAGAGATAGAAGGATTGGCCGATATAGCATGGGAAACTCTGGGTTTGTTAATGCCTGAGAACTGCAAGGGCAGGGTCTTCCTCAAAATGATGGGTTTGAAGAAGAATCCAGAGCTAACATGTTTGAAAGAATCCTACATCCCCTTTGACTATTTGTATGAGAGGTACGGTCACAACAAATCCTACCATACCTATCCTGACGAGTTTTCTATCACATCATTAGGGCACATTCATCGAAGGGTCTTTGTATTCATGTTTTATTTCCTGGGGCTGATCGTGTTTTCGATGAAGAAAGCAAGAATCCACACCAGGCTGGCTATGGTAACTAAGACTTTAATGGAAGGGATCGGTGGGTAGCTATTCAACATTGTGCCCATGATCGTTGCCGACATATGTCGAGCCTTGGAGAAGTGTCAACGAGGAGCAAAACACTTCAAAGGCTGCAATTTATTACTTCAACTCTGGCTTGTGGAACATCTCCAAAAGGGTGAATACCGACAAGAGATTCAGCGAAGGAACTGGGATGATCATATCGCTTTCTATCATCCGAGGCGAATGAATTACATGCCCAATATGTTCGCTCGATCCCGAGATACACCTTTCCTGATATTGATTGGGTTGAGAGGAACATACCCTTACGTCCCTCTCCGAGTTGTGAGACAAGCCAGTAGGAAGCAGGTTATACCCAGGGTCGACAAAATGAGTCATTTCCGGGCTGATTTCTAGAATGATGATAGTCCTTACAAGTGCCAAGCTCAGCATATGTGGCACTACAAGATCATAATGGGGAGGGATACCATTAGGTCAGACAGGTATCATGTTGT